CACCAATTGAAAACGTCCTATGCATAAGCTTCACCCACTTAACTTAAAAAGGTGAGGAGAGTATAAACAGTGCAGTGAGCCACACATTGGCCTGTTTCTTTGCCCCTTAAGTAAAATTAATGCTACTGGATATGATAATGCATGTTCATGTAAAGTCTCAGAAGCTAGATCTGTCTAGCTGCACAGTCAGTTGATCCAAGTTTATGGAACAGGCCCAGTCACCTCTGTGCCTCCTGTGTAGGTGCAGGGGATCAGAGCTGTTGACTGGTACTCTCCCTTGCTTGCAGAGCCTTAAGTTAGGCCTATACTTGCCCTATGTGAGAATATGTAGATCTACAAATTGTAAGTGTCTGTCGGGAAAGTTAAACTGTCTTTATCACACCAGCCACTAGATAATAGAATTCATCATCATCATCCCCTTCAGCGAAATAATTGCATAGTTCCTACTCCATGTTGTGTGGCATTAGGTAAAGGAGTAAGAAGAGAGTGTAAGAGCAATATGCCCGTGTGGTTGTTTATCTTGATATCCTCTTGTGCTTGCCCGTTGAAGAGTGTGTCATCTAACTGACAAGATAAGGGTAGGGTACAAAAGATGCAATCAGTACAAAGTAGTATATGCTAAATGTCATGGAGGAGGGATCAAGGGCTTAGTAGAGTTCAGAAAAGGGAGAGTCCTTGAGGGATACCAGGTAAAGTATCAGAAAGATGATAAAGTTTGAATTAAACTTCAAAAAGCCAAACATGGACTGTCAGGAGGTAGATGAGAAGGGTGGGGGAAGGAAAGAGGGTGCAGAAATGCATAGAGCTTTCGAGAACAGCAAGCAGGCCCTTGTCCTTTACACGATGAGAGCCAAAGACTTTTTTTTCTTAAACCCAGAAACAGTGAATGATAAAGTTTGAAACGTAGAAAAGGGTCAGCTTTTGAAGAACTTTGAATTTGGGCTTTATCCTGCTAGGTCTGTCTTGAAACCCCATCAAAGAGGGTGTAGACATTTAAGTACCACAAATACTTTTATCACAGGTCAATTTGGAAGGCAGCTCCCGAGTGGCAGCTTCCTTCCTAAGAGCTGGGGGAAAAGGTCTCTGAGGTTTTTGAACTATTCAAAACAGCTGCTCCATAAGGATGCCAGGGTGGGGTTGCTGCACTTCTTCTCCAGCACTAAGACCAAAATGCCCCCAGGAGGTATGGAAATCCACTAGTTCAGAGGATGGGCAAGTTACAAGTGGCCTTTTAAAAGCCT